GGCCAGGAAAGTAGCTCAGCAGACTAAGCGCCCACTTTGGCAAGCATAGGGACCAGGGTTCAATCCCCAGTCCTGCATGCCATGCCAGCCCTGGCCCACAGCACACTGAGCTAGCAGTCGAGTCTGGGTGTGGTGGCACAAACCTGTAATCCCAGCACTGGGGAGGCTGAAAACAGGAGGCTCACTATGTGTAGTGAGACCCTGTACCAAATATATAAATCAAAACAAAACAAAACAAAAAATACAGAGAGGGAGATCCTGCCCTGTCAGGGAAATGTAGAAAGCTTCAGAGAGGAGACAGCATTTGGTTTTCATCTTGAAGAACAGCTGAGGGTGTAATAAGCAGTCACAGGCTGGTTGTAGGACAATAGAGGTGGAAGTAATCAAATCATTGTGTGAGCAAAGAAGTTAAAGGGAAAAGGCTTGATCCATACCCAGCCTGAATGGAGGAGAGAAACAATTAATACACTGGTGTTACCCTGACACCTTCAAATCCAAGCTTAAAAGCAATGGGGAAGCATAGAAGATGTATAGAAAGAAATAATAAAATTAGTGCTGCCATTGAGAAATGAGTCAGGTGGTCTTGCATAAGCTAAAGGAAGAAATCTTGCAATGAGAGATGAGGAAGGAGGGTTTGCCAGTCACCTATGCTACAGGGATGAAGGCCTGTGCTACCCATGCAGGCGTAGACACAGAAATGGAAACTAGTACAAGATGTAGGCTGAAAGACAGCGAGGAGGAATCACTAATGACTCAGAGTCTTCAGGCCTGTGATTGGAGAATGTTCCCTGATTATAGCTTATTATCACCTCAATGACTCAAGAAATCATAGACTTACAGTACTTTGTGGCTAGAAGATATCTCAAAGGCCCAGACAGAGGTACCTAAGAACCGGCCAAATCAAACATCTCAAAGACACTTGGCTGACTAGCAGTTTCACTCAGGCAAGGAAGCCAGGCCCCTTCGTTTGCCACCACGCCAACTGTTGGCCACTGGTAATCACATCAGAGTTCTTTTTGGTTGTGAGACAACCCAGGAGCAATATGCAACAAGTAAATTGCATAATTCATCACTGAGCAAAGGCCAAGAAGAGGCTGAGGGTTGGCATGCAGGAACAGGAACAAGGTCAGAACTAACTTGGATCCACCTTTCACCGAATTTCTAAAGTTTCTGTCTCCAAAATTTTTTGACAAGGGCTTCCAGAGATGAGTGAATAAACTGGTAAATGTTATACACAGACAAATGTACAATGGAACGACTTTTAGAATTTCCAGGACCAAGGATATAGCTCAGTAGCACAGTCCTTGCCTGGCAAGCACAAAGTCCTAAATTCAATTCCAAGTACAAAAAAAAAACCTAAAATTTTCCCTGCCTGGCAAGTTCAAGGTCCCAAGTTCAATCCTCAGTACTGGGACAAAAAAAAACTTCCACATAGCAGTGGGTTTTCTATTATCTTCCAGAGCTTTCTCATGGTTTGAATGCAGGGGCTCAAATTCTCTTTCAGTAGTGGCTCTAAAGTCCAGTGAGGGAAAAGGCCCTGCCAAAAGCCACTTAAGTTATCCTCAAAGCAAAAACCTTCCTATTGACTTAATCACAGCAGAATGACTGAAGCCAGCACTCTGGTTATTTCTTTGACCCAATTTGAATGTCTTCTAATTATATCAAACAGTTGCTGAGTGGAGAGGATTCTGGGAGCTATTATTTCTGCATCTGAAAGCTTATACTTCTTAATTCTTCTATAAAAGCACCCTTTCCTTATGAGATCTCCATTCCCATCCCTAGAGTTTTGGGGAATGAACTGGCAAAAAGTCTTTCAATGTTAGAATGGGACTGTTTCTTATGCCCTTCAGTAAACATTTGCAAGATAGAAGCTTGGCCCATCTTCACACAGAAAAAGAACAATAAACATCTTTGTTAAGAGAGCCATGAGCTGCCTGGTGATCACCAATCCAAGATGGGTGATGGTCAGGTAATTTGCCTTGTTCAGCTGAAAAGCCAACCCTCCTGCCCTTGCTGAAGAGGGTTTGAATAGAGATAAAACAATGGGAAATATGGCTGGGGATGGCTCAGTGGTCTGAGTGTCTGCCTGGCAAGTCCAAGGACCTGGGTTCAATCCCCAGTACCACATGCTGTGCTGGGAGGTGTGCTGTGCTGGCCCTGACACCAGGCATTGTAGTGTATAGCTGTAATTCCAGCAGTGGGGAGGCTGAGACAGGGGGATCACTACCGAGCTGCATAGTGAGACCTTGTGCCAAATAAATAATTTTTTTTTTTACTTTGTCATTAGAGAATACCTCTGCTTTATAAAATAAATATTTTTTAAAAAAATGGAAAATAAGATTTAGGGCAAAGTGGAAAAATAGAAAAAGCCTAATATGCCAGCCCCTTCACACTTCCTGCAAATTGTCCTCTGCTGCCTGACAGGATGACAGATCCCCACTGTAAGGTGCCATCCACTGAATCCTCCTTAAAGCCATTAACTCACCACAGCAGCTTATTGGGTTTGTTGCTCTGAGGCAAGGTACAGGATGGAAGGCATTCAAATGATAGAGTGGGCGGAAAACAAAATTCCTCAGCTCATTCCAAAAACCCATAAACCACAAGGAAACGTTCCAGATTCCAAGGTCATAAACTTGATGGTATTTCTAGCATTAGCTACAAACTATTAGAATTCCTGGGACCTGAATATACTGGATGGCTGCCTGTTGTTTTTTCATTTTTCTTTTTTTTTAATCTACAGCCAGAGAAGTTCCCAGCCCAAAAAGAGTGACAATTTCTCGATCCCTAGGGGATCTCCCACTCCTGGATAACTCCGCCTGTGTGAAGGAAAAGGTTCAAACTATCCAGGGTCCAGCAGAAATCTTTCCTGCTGCATCCCCTCAGAAAGGCTTTGGGGCACAAGGGACATTTTCCTGTTAGGCAGAGCTGGTGGCAACCACACTGACTAACCTAATGTCCCATTCCACAGCTAAAGCAGATGATGACCTCATCACCTGCCCAGCAAGAGATGTCCTGGACCCTCTGGCCACTGCACATTACTTTATCTTTTCTTCCTTTCTAAATGAAAGTATTTATTGTGGTTATCCAGTTTCTCCTTTAATGGTTAAACTTTTCATTTGACCACAAATTGCTAAATGAATCGATCCTAAAAAACATATCTGCATTAGATCAAGAAGAACATGCCATCTACAGGATGCCTTGTCCTGTTAATGGATGTGGTAGCCAGCCTTTCCACTGTCTTTCTGTAGGACTCCAGCTTTTACTGTATGTAGGAGAGTTCCATTTGGTGAATGGAGGAGGTTTCCTTAATATAGTGAGCCCTAACTTAGAGACTTCATTTGTTCCCAAGGGCTAGTTGTAACTCAAATTGTCAGTGGAAGGCTAAAGCTCCTCTCCAACGCCTTCAAAGTCTCCCTCCTATACACAGGCAGATCTCAGTGTCCTTAGAGAGACATCCGCCCAGGGTTTTTCAGTCAACCCCATACAGAAAAGGAGGCTGTAATGTTCCTTTGAGAACTCTTTAAGTCTTAAATCCATATCTGAGACCATCTGGAAGCACAAGCTGCTGGCATTTGGGTCATAACTCAAGACTCAGGTCATAACTCAAGACTCAAGTCAGAAGTAAAAACTAAAATTCCAGTCATAACCCAAGTTACCTGTAAGTCAGGCTGGTTGTAACTTGAGGGTTCACTGTATTACAATGATGTGCCTCTTAATGACAGAGATACATTCTGAAGGATGTGTGCTGGTAATTTTGTCATTGTGTAATCACAGAAAATACACAAGTAAGATGGCTGCAACCTCTCTCAGCGATATAATCTTAATCTTATGGGACCATTGTTGTATATGTGGTCTGTCATTAACTGAAATGTCATTATGTAGCATGTGACTGAGTATGTGACTATGAACACTACACAGCCAAACAGAAGGTAGTAGATTGCTAGAGCTCTTGCTTAGGTGTGTAAACATGTTTTCTTATGCCTTCTTTTCTTTTTTTTTTTTTTTTTTTTTTTTTTTTTTTTTCTTTTCTTTTTTTTTCTGGCACCAGAGATTGAACTCAGGACCTTGTGCTTGCCAGGCAGGTGCTTATGCCACTGAGCTATCTCCTCGTCCCCCCTTTTCTTAATAGGAATCTTATTCTCTTCTTAACCCTGGTGGAAGTACAGATCATACCATTCTATTCCCAATGAGCCAAAATCCAAGCTAGATTGATCATAGCTCCCCATCTCCTATAAGCAGTGACTTTTCTACTCCCTTAGCCTAGAAGAATAGACTCCATTCCTATATTTAGAACAAAACAAAACAACTTTCTGTTCCTACTAATGTTGTGCAGCCAGGGAAGCTGAGGCCTAGATCTGACAACTGCATGAGCTACAGAAGAAACAAAATGAGGCCAATTCAAAGAGAAAGCGTATAAAATTTTGAAGAAAAAAAAAAAACAAAGAGAAAGCGAAAGGGCTGGCCAAATAGCTCAGCAGATTAAAGCACTTGTCAGCTGGGGCAGAGGCCTGGGGTTTAATCCCCAGGCCAGCTGTGCCAGCCTTGCCCCCAGGGGCAAACTAAGATGCCCAATAAGACTGGGCGTGGTGGCACATGCCTGTAATCCCAGCACTTGGGAGGCTGTAAACAGGAGAATCACTGAGTCCAATCTAGTAGTGAGACACTGAATACACTGTAGACCCGTCCCTAAAATAGAGAGAGAGAAGAAAAAAAAAAAAAAAAAAAAAAAACAAAACAAAGAGAAAGTAAGACAAGAGGCAGACAGAAAGGAAGAGCCCAATCACAGTGCTGAGATCCAAGTTCCAGTCCCTGGAGGCCTGGAAGTACAGCGATCTGTACAATTCTGTAAGTCCCCACATGCTTTTCAACTACGACTTGTAGTTTAAGATAGCATGAGTTGGGTTTCTGTCACCTGTGACAATTTAAAGAGAGACTTAACATGAACTGCTCCAGATTGAACAAGGGAGAATAAGGGCGACATTCATAGAAAATAGTTTTACCTTTCACCTGGGCCAAAACTGCACAGGAGTATCTTCTCACCTGCAAAGGAAAACAGCAGCACATCAGGTAGCCCATGGTGTCCTCTTAAACAGTATAATTCAAAGGCAAAAGCCCTCCGAGACTCAAATTTTGACATCTTAACTTGAATTAAAAGATCTTTAAAGAGCCATCTAGCTTGAATAGCTTATAATTCACCCATACATCAACAGTGTTCAAGGGTCTGGCATGGCTAACAGGTTGAGAAATGACACTAGAGACTGCTTCTATAGGTTTCCAGCAGATCTCAAAAAGCACACAACATGAGTAAACAACAGAACGCCAAGCGCGTCATGCCCCATTGCCAATTCCGAGCAACTGCCACTGATGGCCTGGAGAGCTACGGTGGAAAAGATTCTGAGGTGACACGTAGGTTCAGGAAAAAGTAGGAAAGCACATTACTGGCAAGTTTATGAGAAGTTCTGATACGTAATATTGCACCTGTCTAAGAGATTGGCAGAAATAAAAGGCAGAAAAACTAGAAAACTGGTGTTCAGAGAAGAGGTGTCAAAGCCTGAACAACGCTGGTGCAAAACGAAAAGAAAGCATATTTTAAGTAGCATTAACATCAGAGAACTGATACAACATAGAACTGATGACGGGAGGCAAACTATCATTCACAAACCAGGACGCAAGCAAGAGGAACATGCATGGAAAAAACCTACAAGCTTATTGGACTGGCTGTTATTATATTCATAGTTTTCCATCAGCACTGCAGGGATTCCTGTGTAGAAAAGTCAATGCAGAATTCTCCATGGGAAGCAGAACAGTGGGAAGCAGAGAAGGATCTGACCAACCTTATTAGGAGATTCTCTTTCAAGTGACATACTTGGGCATTCTGGTTTTCAATTTTGTTAAAAGTATTTTTTTTTTAATATATACAAAGTGAACAGTTCTTAGGAAAGCTTAAGATAGCCATACAGTTTTAAATGTTCAGGCTGGCCAGATAGTTCAGGGGACTAAAGCATGCAGGTACAGGGACTAGGGTTTGATCCCCCCTGGTGTGCCATGCTGGCCCACCCCTGAGGTGCGCTGAGATGGCGACTAAGACTGGGCATGGTGGCATGCACCTGTAATCCCAGTGCTTGGGAGGCTGAAAACAGGAAGGTCACTATGAGTCCAACCTGTGTAGTGAGACCCTGTAGACCCTGTACTAAGTAAATAAATAAATAAGATTAAATTTTGCCGTGAGCTTACATACAGAGATTAGGAATGGAGTGAAGGATGTATTTCAAGCATTAGAGAAGCAAAGGGACCTCAAATTGCAAGGTGGTTATTAAAGAACTGAATATATTAAAGAGGAGAAATAGCAAGGGGCCCAGTGAAGAAGGAAGCTCATTAAATGAAGCATCTTGATTACATGTGAAGTTTACAAAACTCATCCTGACAATAGCACAGAGCTAAGAGATAGACAGAAATAAAAGGCAGAAGAGCTAGAAAAGTGGTGTTCAGAGATGAGGTGTCAAAGGCAAAACTAAAAGAAAGCATATTTTAAGTAGCATTAAGGTGATAAAACTCATACAATCTGATGATAGATTGGACAAGAAGGTAAGAAAGAGGAAGGACCCAAGAACTATTCCCACCTTTCCCAGCTACTGGAAACATAGTGATGCTACTTATTCAGACAAATACACAAAAGGAAAAACAAAATAGGAGCACCGGAAAGCTCACACTTCCTAATTTCAAAATGTGGTATAAAGCTACAGCAATCAAAACAGCGTGTTTCTAGATGCACTGGTGCATGCCTGCAAGCCCTTCTATTTGAGAGGCTGAGGCAGGAAGATAGAGAGTTCAATACCAGACTAGGCAGAGTAGCAAGACTCCATCTGAAAACCAAAAACAGCAGTGCAGTACTGACATAAAGACAGACATGTAGCCGGGGAGATAGCTCAGCAGCACAGTGCCTGCCTGGCAAGCACAAGGTCCTGAGTTCGATCCCTGGTACTGAAAAATAAATTAATTAAATTAAATTTTAAAAAGACAGACATGTAAATCAATGAAATAGAATACAGAGCCCAGAAATGAACCTTGCATTCATGAGAAAAAGTCCTTACAATAAGTGGAACTGGGAAAACTGGGTATTGAAATTTTTTAAAAAGTTGAATCCTAAAAAAAAAAAAAAGTTGAATCCTTACCTAACACCATATACAAAACTTAGTTCAAAATGGGCCAGGGATAGAGCTTAGTGGCATAAGTGCCTACCTGGTAAGCACAAGGTCCTGAGTTTGATCCCCAATACAATA